AGGAGGAGGAGGAGGGGGAGGAGGCGGAGGAGGAGGAGGAGGAGGAGGAGGAGGAGGAGGAGGAGGAGGAGAAGGGGGAAAGAAAGTGGAGATAAAAAAGGAGGAGGAGGAGGGGGAGGAGGAGGGGAAAAAGAAACGAGAACGATCTACCTAATTACCAGAACATCTACCCTATCTAATTACTTACCTATTAACAGACAAACAGACTGTCATACATACGGAAAAGCAGACGGCGGACGGACAGACAGACAAACAGGCAGATGGTCAGAAAGACAGACTAACAACAAACACGCAGACAGACGATTAGCCTAAATAGTAACATACACACATGAACAAAATAAACATAATTATTATCTTCATTTTTAGCTCACGAACCCATCACAATAACAGTTTGCTCCTCGTCCACAGAGTGGCACGGATTCACTTATACAGGCTATGTGGGCGGAATGGGCACCTGTATACGAAAAGGCTTCATTGGCATCTTGCGCCTACTCTGGTAAAGTGGAATAATTCAATAATTAATAGTAGTAGTAGTAGTAGTAGTAGTAGTAGTAGTAGTAGTAGTAGTAGTAGTAGCAGTAGTAGTAGTAGTAGTTGTTGTTGTTGTTGTTCTTGTTGTTCTTGTTGTTTGTTGTTTTTGTTGTAGTTGTTGTTGATGTTATAGTAGTAGTAGTAGTAGTAGTAGTAGTAGTAGTAGTAGTAGTAGTAGTAGTAGTAGTAGTAGTAGTAGTAGTAGTAGTAGTAGTAGTAGTAGTAGTAGTAGTAGACGCTCAGGTGTGCTGATTCAGTCAACGTAACCTTGACCCTATTCGTACGCCCTGGGGTCATTTTGTATCCCCTGGGTTGTATTCTTAACGTTTTAGAATACTTCTAATAGATCTAGTGCCCAGATCTCTTTGAAACTTCTAGTATTTCTCAAAAAATCATTTTGACAGACTGCTATGCAAAGCGTACGGATCGAATTAACGTGTAGATTTCTTCTTTGGGAAGTGGTGGTACAGAGTTTCCCCCGTCGTATGGATAAGATAGTAAAACAGGACGTACGGATAGGGTCAAGGCTTATTGTTGTCTCGTGAACAATATTATTGTTGTTTAAATACTGTCCCCAGGCCTCAGTGTGGCGGGTGTGCTCACGTTCTTTATATGTGGCTACCTGGGCTCCATCGGCCTCAGTGTGGCGGGTGTGCTCACGTTCTTTATATGTGGCTACCTGGGCTCCATCGGCGGTGAAGGATATGGGTGGCCTTACATATTTTACATGTTCGGTGAGTGTCCGGGATTGGGGAAATAATGAGCATTCAGAAACAGCCTTTTACATTGCAGCTTCTCCTGTTTAATACCGGTGGTCAGAACAGTCTGGGACATACAGCAAAAGGATTTTTCAGTATTTTAGTGTTTTCTTCTTCTTCTTCTTCTTCTTCTTCTTCTTCTTCTTCTTCTTCTTCTTCTTCTATCCCGTGGTTGGGGCAACCGTGGTGGCACCACTGGATCTGACAACCAGCTCTCGCCATTTCTATTTTAGTGTTTTAGCACCTATAAAATGACAGCAGAACTTACATTCAGTTGGCTGCAGGCTTGACTTTTGACGGACTGCAATATTTCCATTGATACTTTTTTTTTAATTGTATCTAAAACTGCCGGTGTACCTTTATTTTTATTTTTTTTGTTTTTGTCTGCACTTTGAGAGGTCGACAGGGACTTCAGTGTTTTTCAGAGTGACAAGATGGCTATGGGGAACATTCTTTTTATTGCTTCAACTCCAATGCTATTCTTTTGTTTCCTACTTCGCCGTATTGCTGTGTGGGTTAGAATTCCTTGTAAAAATACTACCTGATCCTTCCCTATGCTTAAAGTAACGGCCACGCTAAGCACTCCACCGCTACAAGTCAATTTTTTGGAGGTAGAGTCGGGGGTGGGCGATTGGGAGGGGCGGAGGATTTTGTTACGGAAAAGTCGTGAATGTGATACCCGTTTAGGGAAGATTTTTTATCCATTGTCTCTGTCTTTCAACACTCGCCTGACACAGCAGAGGCAGGCTCTGGCCGGTGGAATGAGGAAGAACGACCGAATTTTCGCCATTGTTAAAAGTAGAAAAGAAAACCACCCGAGGAACAGGGACTGGGCTAAGCGGATACGTCGCCTTTGTGGTTTTCATCGTGGTATAGATACTCGAGATTTTTGTCGAGCTCTTGCAACTCAATGTAAGAAAGGAGACGCTTGATCTGTATATATACATTTGTGTTTACATGTGTGTGTGCGTATGTGTGTGTCTATAATATATATATAT